ATATAAAATACTGGTGGTGTTCTTCAGAAATTTAGTATCTAAGGCTCTCTAATTCTTGAAAAATATCAACATTTTCCTGGAAATACTTTTATTGATAGGACATTTGTTGAGCATCCTAGGATGTGAAAGAAATATAACTAAATTTTAAGTAAACGTAAAATACAGGACTAATATGTGTTTATGTTGTTGCATGTTATAAGAGATTTCCTTACAGAATTTTGCCTTCTAAGACTTGGGATAAGAACTGGTGGCTGAACATCTGCATTCCTGACACAATCCCAAGGGTTCTTGTAAAAATTGCTCTTCTGGTCAGTGTAAGGTGCTTGGAAAGTCTATAAAAACCATTCAAGAAAACAACAGGTCAAGTAGAGTAGTGGTTCCCACTCAGAGGCAGAGTAGGAAACAGCAAACTGGATGTAGACATAACAAACACCCATTTTTGTTCTTTATTGCTTCTAGGCTCAGAAACTATTTCTAGAATTCTTCTCCACAAAGAAGCTGTTCCAGGGTTCCCTTTAGAAATAGTTGTAGCCAAAGACAATGAATTCCTGCTGTTTCAAGCCTTCTTCCTTTGGAGGACATTAAGGTATTTCTTTAATTCCTCAGCTGATTCAATACAAGATGAGATGGAATTTCAGGGTGATCCTGTAAGCAGCACTTTATTGAATTTCCCCTTGCCAAAACCCTGCCTTTGTGCAAGCATTTTCTCTTTCTCCTAAACAAGGAGGTGCAGGACCATCTCTTGCCTCTGAAAGAGGCTTACTAATACATCTCCACCCAACTGACTTAAAGAGGGACAGTTTTCTCAAAGCCACAGGTGTCGTGTACAGTGATTCATCGGTGCCTCGAGGAGTCTTAGCAGGACCTCTGTTCAACCAAACTCTGTTCCCCAAACCCACCCAGGACAGGGGATTGCCATCATCCTTCTAGAAAGGCATGTACTCTCTGACGCGTAATTTCAGTGCCATACCCCATGTAACACAGGAGCACAGACGTGTAGGATTTAATTGAGAATCTTTTGGTCTTCAGGCCAAGACCCATCAGATATTTTCCATATTTATTCAGAGAACTGTTGCATAGACAAGAGAAAAGTGTGGGTAATAACAAATCCCGATAAATACATTTTGGGGTGCTCTAACTTTTAGACAAGCAGAGTGCACATTTCATATATTTCACTAACACTTTCTCAAGATTATTTGGGTAAGAAATAATTATACTGTGATACCGTGATTCTAGATTGTTTAAAATCTTCTCCCTCCAAAGACTTCCTTGGATTAAAAACTACGTTCAGAATCTAACCAGCTCTTGGTTGTTATTTAAGGACTGTAAATGTACTGTTGACTCAAAATGCTTTAATTCAGGATGATGTCAAGTATGTCTCACTTTGGAGTTCACTACTTAGAACAATAAATTGAATTTCAGTGGTCTCACAGTATCACTTTCTCAAAAAGTTGCCCTGACATTAGTAATAGGACCTGTTCTGAGATTACATATTAGTACATTGGACTGAAAGCAAACTCTCAGATCTGTTTAGTGATAATATCAGATTTTTTGCTAGGTCATTTATAGTTGCATATTTCTGGTGTAGTATTGTTCTTACAGAAATTTAACTACTGCGGATATGGTCTTACATGGTAGGAAACCGAGCGCTAAAATGTTGGGAGGATGATGAAAGACGATAGAATGTAATGTGTGACTTCAGATGAAATGTTAGGAGACAACTAGATGCCTGCAAATGTGTGTACTACCAATCAACAAATGTTGGGAGGATGATGAAAGACGATAGAATGTAATGTGTGACTTCAGATGAAATGTTAGTAGACAACTAGATGCCTGCAAATGTGTGTACTACCAATCAAAAGCTACTCCAGTGACATAAGATAACAGCAGTAAGGACCCAAGAGACATGTGTCACTTACCAGCCCCCAAAAGGATTTTGTATCTGAATAGGAAAACAATACTTACTTGTTAAATGTAAAAACATGAGATACCAAGTATAAAAATGTCTTTTTTAAAAATTTTAGACTTCTATCTATATTTAATATATCACAGTGAATGTTGTTGGGTTCAGCCTAATCTATCGAGGGGAAATTGAATAGTTCCAGAGTAAATTGACAATTTTTATGAATAAATGATTTTGCTGAGTTTTTCTGTTTTGATATTAAATATTGATGGTGTCAGAATTTGAAATGTATATACTTCCCAACTTTTTCTTTGTAATGTAAGTCATAAATAAATGGGGATGGATATATTAGTTTTAGAGACACAAAATAATTTTTTGCTTCTTGCATGATACCATATGAAATGAGGCCTATCAATTATCCAGTAGGACTTGTTTTATATAAAATATTTAACATGCACGTTGGAGGACCAACACATACTGAACAGCCTTCTGTGCATTTTTTAAATTTGTTCAACTGAACAAAAGCTGTTAACGCTGAATGCTGTAGGGGAACATACTGAACGTATTGCAACTCCTGGGGAAATGTGTGCTGGGTGCACATTTGTGACTATACACTTAGCTGATGAAGCCACTCGGATAAAACATGGGACTGCCCAAGTCAGTGTTAAGGTTCTGATGCTCAAACAAGCCAGTTCACTTTTTTCTTTTACTTTCTAGCCATACATCACACCCTAATCCCATACATTAATCATAATATGTACTAAAAACTAGCGCATACTTCACTACTGAGGAAAAATAGTTAGAGGTGGAAGATCATCTTTGTAAAAGTTGGATAGTGCATTCTCTTAAATCCCTGAAATTCACTGGAAGTAAAATTTCCTGCTACCCTATGATTATTATGCATTTTTCAGTGTCAGGTTAATCTTCCCAAATACATATTTTTCTATAATATATCTCCTGAAGGCAAAAGTTTCTCATAAACTTCACATCTTAAATGTCAGTGAAGAGTACAAGGTTTTGGTCTGTGTAGATGAGCTCAAGACATTTCTCTATCCATGAGCCGTTCACTGAAGCAGTGCATGTAGAGTTCATCCCTAAGCCGTGGTCTGCTAACTTCGTAGAACATAGAACGCCTTCCTCGCTGAGATAACCTGAAGTGTGCTTTACTTAAAACATGATACAGGTCTTCTGTTCTCTCTGTCTCATATTTGCGGTTCAAATAATTTTGACAAAACATTGGCAGTCTTGTGAGTGAAGGCTGGAATAGAATCATTATTTTGGGTGGCTAGTTAGAGTAGTGCTAAAAGAAAAACTAATAGGTTTGAAAACTAAAGATGTTTACAGTAAATCCTAAGAGGATGTAGGAAAGTAGCAATACCGTATCTAATTTAATGTCTTAAAACTTGCCTAAACTTTTTACTACTTTTTGATGTTTACAGTTATTTGTTGGAAAGAATACTTTAGTCACTGCAGGAAATTAGAAATTTTATAGCCATGAAAAGTTTATTTAAAAATTTCTGGAAGTTGTTTTTCAAACCTTAGGTTGTAATGAAAATAGAGAATGTGCTATACCCACTTCATAATTACTTTTGCTACGAAAACGCTAATCAAAGCATCTCTTTAATAAGTTGTCATCTACTACCTGTGAAGAGTTGAATCACAGTCCCCTTTTAGCAGATGGATAAAAGTTTAGAACTCTTGATCTTAGCAATGGCAGCTAAAACACTTATTTTGGTCTCTCTTCCATGGTAACAGGAGGTGAAACTCGAGAAGACAGTGTGGACTAATGGATAGAGTGGTGGACAGGAGGTCAGGAACCTCTGTTCTGTTCTATTCCCAGCCTGCTACTGGGTTGCTATGTAAACTTAGATAAAACAGTTACCCTCTCTGTACCTCATATTTTCCATCTGTGAAAACAGAGGTAGAGAAATTCTGTACTTAGCTCCTTCACAAAGATATTGTGAGAAACAGCTTCATAGTATCAGCTCCATAAAAGAAGTTCATAGTATCTTTTGGTTGAAAAGATGTCACATAAACATGTCAGTGTCTCTGTTCCCTTTGGCAATGCTCTTCCCACAACCTGTCACTGTAGAAACTGTCCTTTATCAATGTACTGCAGAACAGGTACCATTACAGCAGGCTTTGTACTCCACAGAAGCTGAGAGTGTGACTCTGGAGCCAGACCGCCTGGGTTTGAATCTTAGGTCCACCACTGACTAATGCTGTGACTGTGGGCAAGTCAGTGCACTAGATTTCCTCATCTGGAAATTGGGGATAAGCACCCACCTCACTGGACGGTGGCGAAGCTGAAAATCATTTTGGAACAGCACTGTGAACATTACATAAACACATAGTACGCTTTATGTAAGTGTGTGTGGTTACTGTCATCACCAGAGCAACTCTTCATGATTAACGTGGCAGGGAAGGCAGCGCCTCACCTCTGGTCTGGGTTTCTCCTGGGCCCCTCTTCCCAGCGTGGCTGCTCGCGCTTCCTCCTGGACTCTGCCACTCCCACGAGCCTCTGGACCCTGAGGATAAGCTCCTAGTCACTGTTATCCATCATGTCATCTATCATAAGTGAGGGAGTGTCACATAAAAGAAATCCAGGTGTTTTTAACTAGTCTCAAAAACTGATTTATTAAAATTTGAGAAAAAACTGCTAACAGATTTCAGCAGTATTGCAGAATAGGGAGTGACATCACTGACAGTTGGCAGCTGTGTCCTGATTGTTATGAAAAATAAACTCGGAAAATGTCAGGAAGAAATAGAAGAATAGTTAACCATTTAAATGGAGTTCATTTTAACCTCTCTTGTGTGCTTTCTGTAGTGGTGACCTTCAGAAGAGTACAGCGTTGAGGGTACAGAAAAATGCGTAAATTGCTCAAACATAAAGGAGTAGATCATTCACATTTTCAAAAATCCAAATAAAAATATTTGTTTCAGGGGTTAAAGACATTATGAGAATATAAAAGTTTAGGATTTGATGAAAATTATTGATTCGATTTTTGTAACTTACAGTAGTGTGGGATTTCAAAGATTGAATAGCATCTGAGAGTAATCATATGTTTCATTGATTTTTTTTTCTTTTTATTATTAGAACCAACCTATATCACAATTGATCCACCTGCATGTGGGGAGTTATCAAACTGCACTCTGACGGAAAAGGACTGCATTTATGGTTTCAAACTTGATCACACTGGTTGTCGAACTTGTCAGTGCAAAAACAGTGAGTAGATAGCGACTGTATTTTTTCCTGAGGCCTAATATGATATTGTCAAAGCATATTATATGATTAAATGTCTTTTTCACTCCTGTTCATGACATTCCCTTGACAACCTGAAAGAAGAAAATAAAAGTTGTATTTAACACAGACAAGTACACAATCATTTAGGGAAAAAGAGCTGCTCCTTTATTCTGGTTTCCATCTTCATTTCATTATATTCAGATACTCCTTTATGTCCAGTTGCATTGGGGGTGCAGCGCTGAGCAGCTTTGGCCCAGTGGGCTCTCACTATAGCACCTTTGCTGGGGTCATCCAGTGACAAGAAGGTCACCCACACATAGGGTGTCACATTCCACGTAGAGCAGCCGCAATCTTAGAATATGCTTCACTTTGTTGACCCCAGTTCTTCCTCCATGTACATTCCAATCATGTCTCCAGGTCATGACCTGTAAAACTAAATAGAGTATATTGCATTTCATCCAGGAAAAGAAAACACTCTACATGTTTAAAACTATTTTGAATTTCCCTAATTCTACCAGAATAACCATACTCAGTCCCCTTGGCCATTCCTCAGGTGACATGGTTTCTAGAATTTTCTTTGGTTTTTCTGTCTTCTGACACATAATGTGTCGTCCTTATATAAAGTATTGCCCAGAAGCAAGGTTTTGTCCGATCAGAGCAGTGCTAGAGTGTGGCCTAACTCTGCGTTAGCTCTTTGTATTCCACGCAGTTGGCTGATGCAGAATATCCCTTGTCCAAAATGTTTGGGACCAAAAGTGTTTTGGATTTCAGATTTGTTCAAATTTTGAAATATTTGCAGAAATACATACTGGTTGAGCATTCCTAATCTGAAATCTGAAATGCTCCAGTGAGCATTTCCTTTGAGTGTATGTCAGCACTCAAAAAGTTTTGGATTTTGGAACATTTTAGATACTCAAACTGCATTGAGTTTATAAGCAGCTAGAATCACTAGGTGTGTTTTACATCAGATGCTGTTAGGTGGTTCTCATCTGTTGTGTATTTGAACATTTGGGTTTTTTTAATGATATGAATTACAGGGCCAAACGTAACAAAGGTAAACTATCATCCTGATAGTTTTAAACCATTTTCCAACTAATTGGGTTTTTTTTGTTTTTTTTGAGTCTTGATAATGTGATCTTTTGCTTTATCTATGCCTCCTAGTTTATATTAAATAAGCATAACTTACATGTCCTCATCTAAGTCATTGAACTGAATTTAATTGTAAAGAACAATTTACAAGGACAGAGCCCTGTAGTACTAAAAACCTTCTTGCCAGATGACATTGAACAGAGTCCTCACTCCTTGAATGGAGTTACTCAGCTAACAACACGTCAGCTCCATTTCCACAAGGAAGTCTTGAAACACTTGGCCTGTATCTTGTCGAAAATCAAAATGTATTATATTTGTAGTATTCCTGTGCTGGAACCCCTATGTTAAAAATAGTAAAGTGAAGTTAGTGGAGCATGGCTTGTTCTTCCTGAACCTATGCTGGCTTCTGGTGGTCAGTACTTTCTTTTCTAAATGTCACAAATCATATGTTTAACCATTCTTTCTGAAGAATTTTCAGTTGTGAATGTCAAGCTTAGTTTTCTGTAGTTTTTAGAATCCTTTGTCCTTTTTGAATTGACATTTGGCCTATTTTTTGAAATCTCTTTACATTCTCTCTGATCCCTTCCAAACATAGACAATAGTTCTATAATAAGCAGGTTCTCTGTGGGCCTCTGGGTATAATTATGCTGGGCTCAGAGGTTGGGACTTACTTAATGTAGATAGATGCTCACTTTCTGATTTATCAGTCATCTTGGGCTTTCCAGTCCTCGTAACTGTAGTCATTCATCACTTTCTTTTATAAGAATATTTTTGATGCGGAAGAAGATACAAAATAGGAGTTGAGTAATTCTAGTTTTGCAGTGACACGTTACCATCACACTGTCTGCACAATGGAGTTAGTGCGAAAACTGCCATTGTGCCTGCAGTTGTTGCCATCTTTAAATTTCCTGTAAGCCACCACCCATCTGTGGCTGTCCTGCCTTCCTACACTTGTTTCCTTCCAGGGAAGTGCAGATCAGGGCCTTGTTATGCACTGATCTGCCTTTTGTACCTCCCTTTGGAAAGTCACGTTCACTAGAGAGTTGCCTTGAAAGCCCACAATTGTTCACTCAAATGACTAACCGTGTCTTTTTAACACCAAGACGATTCGTAATTGAGTCATAAAGAGTTTAAATTTCATTCCTCTAATGCTCTTGAGCTACATATACTTTCTTAATGTGGAATCATCCCTACATTTTTTTTCTGAACTTATTATAAGTCTAAAAATACATATTTCATTGCGCCTGGTCACCTCATTTACCACCTTCACCTGGGCTCTGCTGTGAGGAAATTTTGGCCACCTGGTCATGCTTACATAAGATTCCTGTCACTTCAGGAGGAATCTTCCATTGTTAAGTCCAAAAAAAAAAACTGTCATTGAAGCAAGTCAAAACATCCCTGGCTTTTTGCAATTGGAGACTGTTGGAAAGATCCTCCTCTACCCTGTCTTTGAGTTGGTGTTGAGTTCTGGCTTTGTAAAAGGAGCATCCGTGCGTACTACCTGCAGTGCACCTTCATGTCATTCACACTTAAGAAAAAATGTACAGGAGACAGTTGCATGTTGTGTCAATGATTTATTTTTACATATAAATCATTATTAGCCTTTCATTATTTGCATATTTCACCTGTTTGTAGAGATATCTAGTCTTTATTGTTTTTCTCTTCCCCCTTTTCTCCCTTCACTTAATACAGAGAGAGCACCCACTGAGTTCTAGGTGTTAAGGCACAAGGATGAGGAAAATGCAAGACTTGCCCTAATGAAAAAAAATCATCTGTAGCTGAAACACTAACAAAATACCACCATTTTATGTCAAATGCTGTAACTTACCCAAGTAAATCCTGTTAAGAGGAAGCTTTGGTCCTTCAGAAGAACCCAGGCTTATGCTCATACCAGAGGAGGGAAGTAACTGCCCATCTCTGTGCTTGGAGCTTGGTGCTCAGCAGACTTTGGCTGAGTGGATGAGCAGGAAACCTTCAGGATCAGGGATGCTGCTGGACATCATTCTTAACTGAGAGTTTCCCTCTGAGGTTTCGTCATTCTGATCATATATTCATCTCATCACACTGAGATTCTTGACCTGGGTTAATCTTGCCACCTTTCTCACTGCCACCCTAAACCTAAAAACATTAAACACCCATTGGAATTTGTCAGGTTGTTTATATCATACAGCATCTAGGCATATAGCATTCTGCTCTTTCCTCTCCCATTCCTCTTAGCAACCCTGATTATTTGTCTACTTTGGAAGCCGTACCTTTGGGAGGTGAGTCAGATCACACCAGATTGCCAGATACTGGGTTGTCAGATCCTGTCATTGTACACAGCTCTCCTCTCAGGCCCTAGCGTCAGACTGACCTGCATCTGGGTGATCAAGACAAGTTGCCTCTGTGTCCTCATCTGTAAAGGGCAGATAATAATACCTAACTGATGGGTTGTTTTGAGGACTAAATAAATGAATGAATACAAAGCTAGCTTCATTGCTTGACATGGTAATTGTTTACTCTGCATGATAGCTGTGTTAAAACATCCTTTTCTGAGTCAGCCCAAGCTAGCTGACATGGAATGCCTCCAGCTTTCCCTCCTTGGTTCCTACACCAACCTGCCTCCAGTTCTTT